TTGCCGTAGTAGAAAACCCACTCGACCCGACCCCAAGTAATCAAATCCATTCTTGACCAGTCACAGTCACCCTGTCTGTAACATGAAACATTAGCAAAGCTCTGAGCAGGATCTTTGTGATCAAACACACCTTTGCACCAAAACGTTGCCCTTGGGAACTCTTGGCTGGGTAGTCAAAAAGTCGCAAACGTCACGAGTTCGGACATCGGGATAGAAGAATGCACCATGATCGCCGACGAGATCGAAGGGACGTCCGCTAGGTTCCATGTAGACCTACATCGCGAAGGCTGGTCAGCAGGTGCTATCTTGCACTGTCATTTGGAGGACTGTACAATGTCACGAGTTGTGCCGTTGGCCGATCGCGCCTTCACTGTGTACACAACACGGTCACTCTGCTCAACACTTCCGACCGTTGTGGTGCCGAAGCCGTTTCCCAGGTTGGTGGTCCAGAAGGGTCCTAAACGTGGTCAGTTAAGGCTGCGGTGTCAGGAGTTGGAGTTGGTACACGTACCAGCGCTGCCACTGTTTCCGGCGGCGGCAGTGACAACCACACCTGCGGCCTGGATCTTCGATCCCACAATGGATGCAGCAATGTAGGGAAAACCAAGCGCCGAGCCGAGAGAGGCAGTAATCACATCAGCTCCTTCTTCAAAGGCTCTCAAGAAGCCAGCAATGACAACGTCTTCGGTGGTGCCGTCTTCGCAACCGAAAACCTTGTACATGCGAAGCCGCGCGTTCGGCGCCACACCCGGGTTGTACTCGTTCTGGCTTGCGATGATGCCAGCAACATGAGTACCATGGCCCGAACAGTCCATCGGATCCGAGTCCGGGTTGGTCGGTCCCCCGGGACTGTAATCGTCGCCTGCCAGATCATAACCGCCTTCAACCTTGAAACCGGGGCCGAATCCTGCGCCGAGGGCAGGATGATTGTAGTCAACACCACTGTCAATCATGGCGACGATGACACCGTCACCTTTCTGCCCCTTCTGGTGGACTTCGTTCACCCTGGTGGTGTTGTGCGGCGACCATGTGGGCCGGTCGGAATCGGAGATCACAGCCTCTGAAGTGGGCGGAATGGTGAACAGTCCCGCGGGCCAGACCTGAGAAACGCCCTCGATAGCCTTGATCTGGTCAACTGAAGTCGAGTTCGCATCATGCACGTCGACTGAGACGCCACGAAACAGGCTGGAATCGAAGGTCAGGGCCGGCTTCGTGTTCTTCTGGATGTGCGACGACACGGTCATTGCAAAGCCTCTGACATCCTAAAAGTCCTCAGCGTTTAAGTATACCAACTCGTCTGTCCTAGGAACGTACGATTGTGCCGTCTCTCTTTTGAAAGTTGGCGACCGCTCCTTCTTCGAACAGGACGATGTACCGGCTTGGAGCGGCCACTGCCGCAGCGAGAGCAGCATCATTGCCTGGCACAGTCGCGCTCTGGCCTATGCTTGCCAAAGCCAGCGATGCTGCTAGTGTCGAGAGGAGCTTTGCCGCCATGTAGCTCTGCCGTAATGAGAATTACTGTGGCGATGAAGAGCAGACAACAGAGCGTCGCAGAGAACGACAAGGACGATGAGGCACAAATGCTATGGCTCGAATCTCTGCCTGTCTCCCAAAGCGTATTTGAACTCTTGAACTCGTCCATGCTGAATGAAGAGTCGTTCTCGGAGCTTTCCATGCTATGTGCTTCTTCTCGGCGATGTCGGACTTAGGCGCAGGCATGATACGACGAAGCGACTTTATCCCACCTAGATCCTGCATGATCCTAACAATTGGACATGCAGACGGAGAGGGGCATCGAGGTTCAGTGGTGTTGACCAGCCGCACGGCTGCATGTGCGTAAACCCAGCTATAGATTTCAGGCACACTAACTTCTTGGCCCGAATGCAAGGTAACTATGCCGGCGAACCTCCTGTTCTGGAAGGTCAAGACTACTCTTATTACGGAATAGAAAGTTCTGATGAGTACATTCTGTTTGTCACCCTTGATTGAATGTTCTTGGCTTGGATAGAAAAGTGGTAAAATGGTGCCATTTAATGGTTATTTGTGTGCCAATTTCCTGGTTTCTAGTTTCCTGGTTTTGGTACAAGGGAATGCGGGATGCTCCAGATAATGAACCAAAACGGTAGCAGCCAGGATCCGGGGCAAGTTGTGGTAAGAGGCGCCTATGAGAATTTGGGGTTGATACATTCGCTCTCATGTAGGCCTAGGTAGTTTAGAGAATGGTCATCTCAATTATGCATCCGTAAATACCTACGTGGCGGGGAGTCAGTCGTGACTAACAAGAAGCTGTCCAGGTTTGTGTGCGCGCTGAGGGGCTCGTTGCTCGCGCCAAATGCCGTTAATTACTGTTTCCAGAGTAAAAGGGAGGAAAGAAAAAGACAACAAAAGAGAAAATCGGCGTAACATTTGAAACTTGACCGAGGAGCATGTCAAGCGGCAGCATGCAACTTGGAATTGAGGACATTTCGGACCACCTCGGCCGGTATGGGTTGCTTCTGCAAGCATTTGCTAGCCCCAGATAAGTCGCCATTCTTTGTGGGCATCAGCGTAACCGAAATTCCAATGCCAGGATGGCTGTTCCGGTGTGGTCCATGGATGTGAGGATGTTGAATTCGCTTGTTAAATGCTGTACGGGGATGCTAAGTTTGATGTGACTTCTGAGGAGTTCGGCACATATCCGAGGGTGATCCCGAGCCTCACCTGATCCACCTAGATTGATTAGATGTGATGATAAAGCAAACCCCTGGAATTAAGGTTGAGCTATTTCTTACCCACGAGCTGCCCGTTTTGGACCAACAAGTGTGCGTACCAGGACCCTTGATTGCTACCCTCACATTCTACTCTTGGGCCACAAACCTGCATTCGACAAACTCGCGTTGAAGACACGACAATAAATCGGAGGGTATTTGAGTTCTCAACCCTGCAACGCAAGAATTCATTCTCCCGGCTGCAAACGCTCCCTGTCATAAGACTTGGATCACAGGTACGCATGTTGCATCCGAAGCGTTAATTTGTATTGTGACCCACCTCCTGTGCACCTCCTGTGACGTTTCCTTGGTTCTACCGCCTCGTGACTATTCAGCCTAATCTTGCACCTTGCGCCGCTCACAAAAAGGACTTCGTGCGGTACCTATTTAGAGGAGGTGCCATCAAGAACCGAGTCTTAAGTACGCATCCCGCGCATTCCGTTGTGTGATGAAGCAGTCCAGTCTTAACGGGAATCAGTCTCCTGACGATAAATAATACCTAACTGATCTTGCGATGGCAACCCCACATATAACACACTGGCTTCGTGCAAAATCATGTCATCCCTGGAATCCACATCACTCGACGTAGGTTGGCGGTAGGAATCTTCTACGTCTGCCGTTTCTTGGACGGTCTGGCGTTCCGGTAAAGTGATGGTGTCGCAAATCGAGGAGATTTATCGCGGAGCTCCTCTTCGCCCCTCTCCCTACTGGGTGTATCGTGCTGCATGTCTAGGGGGCTCAGGCAAGGCTTTCCGTGCTCCCAATGCTGGGATGAACACCATCCCACCGGATGCGAGTGGAACACAATCCTTAGCATGCGGGGCTGCGACCACTAAGAAGGGATAACGCGCTTTAAATTTTAGCTAATGGCCAGTGCTTCAATGAGCCGGTAGAATGAGAAGATCGCTGGAAGTATTCCATTAGTTTGCCCCCATGCAACCGGGTTTGTGCAAGTTAGAAATTGACCAGTATATCGTGTTACAAGATTGTAGCTGAGATCTCCGCTGAACTATCGCCGTGATCTAATAGCTATTCCCTAGTTGTTGATGATGCAGAAAGGACTATGTCAAGTCTTTGTGGAGTGGCAGGTTACTGGCACCCCTCCATCTGGGATTCGGCCTTGGAAAGTACGCATGTGCTTCAGATGAGACTATGACACTCAACACAAGCAGGTCAATCCTATTACCTGGGCTGTTGGGTTCATCGTTCAAGCAAGGCCGAAAAGTGCTTTTGTCGGCGGAATGTGTTACTGAACACTTTGAACAAATCATCAATGCCGCATCTCGGGGTTGGGACTTCGAGGTGCAAGGCAGACACAACACACATAACTTCCTCAGCGTCATCATATACCCTTGAATACACAATCTCGAAGGGACTTGCAGCCAAACCAAAAGGCCCCGAACGAAAGGGTTTGTAGATCTATGGACTCTATGTGTAGCCAACAGGAGACTTGCATGTCCCCTGTTTTAGGGAGTGAGCAGATCGAGTAGGTTTCGGTCCATCAGGTGCTAGAAAACAATGAGGAATGCAGACAGATCGCGAAGCTAATGCGTTGAAACAAGCCGCCAATATACCAGCGCATTCGGAGATTGGGTGTTCAAAGGCGAATGAAAAGCTGAGCTAATGAGACGGCATGGTTCCGGAGCAGATAGGTAAGCATGCAGTTGTATAGAAGACAAGGAAATTGACAAGGAAATTAACAATGACATGTTGTCTTCTCAAGAACGAAAGGAAAATCAAATACTTTCTCCAAATAAATTAGTAGCCTGAAGAGACACGAATTCATCGCTCCCGAGCTCCAAGGACTGAAGTACCTGCAAGCCTGGGACGACGAAGTCATCAGGCTCATCTTCCGGCCGCTGGACCATTAGGTCGGGTCAAACGAGTTTGTGAGGCAAACTTTCGTGGCCGACGGGCTTCAGAAGGGGTAAGTTGCCTAGTGTTCTCACGTCTGGGACCGTAAATACTCACCATTTGGCAGACTACAGGAGGAATGCTTCAAATGGCAGCATACCATACTGTAGCGCACTTGGCCTGCCCTGTCTAAGGAATTTGCACCAGATGGATGGCTTCTAAACTCACCACTGAAGCAATGATTATAGATATTTATTATTGAATATCTCTATTGGAGTAGTGTCTGTAGGTCTTTGTGATGTTTAGAAGAACCTCTAGGTAGGTATGTTAATGTTCATGAACTCCAGTCCATGCACCCGCCAGTCGTTCATCCTCCTCCATGTCGGCTTTAATGCCGAATTACCTGCTACGCACGAACTTGGTGTGCCTTCCATTTGCCACAGTCGCACCCCTCGATCCATCAGCAGCAACCTTGTAAATGTTGACATGCGTAAACGCCAAGCTGCCTCCGACCTTCTCAACCTTGCCCTCAATCTCAATCTCATCACCCAGCTTTGCACCAGACAGGTAGCTGATGTTGATGTCAACGCTCACACCGGTTGCCTCGCGCAGATCCCACGCCGCAATGGCCAGACCGCCCGCCCAGTCGACAATGGTAGCAGATACGCTGCCGTGGATGCTGCCGGAGGAGTTGAGGTGATTGGCGGTGACGGGCAGACGCGCAACGACGAGGCCCTTTGAGACATGGGTGAGCTTCAAGCCGGGGTTGAAGAGGAAGTTGTAGATCGGGGAGGCGTTGCAGCGGGTCTCGATGTAGTTCTGGATGTGGGCGAAGGCCGCGGGGTCGGATCGTGCCGGGACGGCGGAGGTGGCTGGGGGTTGCGATGGTGTTGTAGACATTGTGAATGCTGAAAGGATAACGTCGGGCTATCTTGATGCTTTTGCAGCCTTGTTTTTTGGGATTGGCCGTTTGGAAGATGCACGGTTGTGAGTGAGGTTCAAAAGGTGCAGGTTGCTGAGTGAGACAAGATGGGTCACGTGTGCCGATTGAGGTTTTTCTCCGGCGGGCGGAGTCCGTCCGAAATCGGCGTTTGCGGCCCCACAATCACCGCCAGGTCGCGGTCCGACTTGCGAGACTGGCCGGCGATATGGATTGCGACGGCCGATGCTCTCGGGGGCGAGCACGCGGAGCAACCTGATTTCAGGCTCAAAGAAATGGTATTTCAATTGTTTTTTAGTTTTGAGTCTTACTCCAACACGCGTACTCAGCTCTTCGGAGCATGCATACAATATGATCCTTGAAAGTTTGTTACACCCTCTACCTCAACGCCCAGCCGCCACTAAGCCCAATTAGGCTAGGTTAGCGTCTTTTTAGCCCCCCCTACCTCTGCTAGCCTCCTATAGGCACTTTTTTCCTCTTACTACCACCACTACCCTTATAATCTCTATAATCTCTATATTAAAAAAACCACCTTTCTATAGCGAATTTTTCTATTAGCTTACTATAGTAATTACCTAATAATATTATAATTACTCTTCCCTTTTTTTCTACTTTAAAAAAGCTTAATTTTTTGTTATTTTATTAAAATAATATTAAACGCTTAAAAATACTATTTTTTTTACTACTTTTTATTCCTACTAACTACCCTACTTACTTACCTACTTTAACCTTACCTTACCCCTTAAGATAGCCTAAAAATTACCTTAAGAGGTGCTATACTATATAGCTAGCCCTCAGCTAGCCTTACTAACGCTTAGCCTATCTATTAATATTAATAACACTTATTCTACCCTTCTTAAAAACCTTAATACTAATCTTAATAACTATATCGTAAGCTTTAAAGTTAATATTAAGAGTAATAATAACGCTATTAAGATTAATACCTCTAGCCCTTCTAAGTACCTCTTACTAGCCTCAGCCTATTAATCTCTTATTACTAAGGGCAAACTTAAAGCCCTAAGCATAAGTATATATTAGTAACCTATTATTATTAATAATAATAATAATAAAGCCTTTAAATACCTTATTACAGCTACTAAGGCTCCTCACCCTCTTTCCTAAGTTAAATAGCTAAATATATATACTTTCTTTACTTAAGTAATCTTTTTTCTAAGACTTTAATACTAAAATAGAAATAACTAACTTCCTTAACTTATACCTTAATATAAGCGTCTTAAAGTATAACCTAACTAATAATAAAGCTACCTTACGCTTTACTCCTCCTTTTTAACTATTCCTCTTAGCTAGCACTATTTTAACTAATAAGATTACTATACTACTAAGCTTACTACCTTCTACTATTAATAGCCTTCTTACTATATATAATTAATATATTATTATTTACTCTCTTTCCTTTTTTATTAGCTTTAATATTTAAGAGATTACTATTACTATAAGGTTAATAATATAGTAAGTATAATATACTTTATAGCATAATATTAAGCTTTAGTATGCTAACTATAGCTGCTATATTATTATTAGGACCTTATAGAAGGATTTACTAAGAGAATTTCTAGCTTAATTACTTTATAATAGGACTATACCTTAGCTATAACTTAGTAAATATATCCTAGCCTTTATAGCTTATTTAGCTCTTACTTTACGCTTTACCTTTATTAATCTTAAAGCTTATTAAGTATTATAACTTATCTCTATCTTCTTACTTAAAAAAAACTATTAATTACACCTTAAATTTACCTTTTACTAAGACTACTTTATACTTATTAACTAGAAGTATTAGATCTTCTCTAATAAAACTTAATATAATAATATAGCTACTATAAAGAAGTTTATTACTCTACTACTTAGTGAGAATTATTATACTTTCTCTAAGGTATAAGCTAAGCCTTATAGCTAGATATTCTAAAGCTACTTTATAAGTAGCTATAAAAGCTTAAGTGTTATCTAAGATAAAAAGTAAAGAACTATAACTTTAGCTATATATATTCACTATATACTACTAGTCTTTAAGTCTTTTTAGGAGTCTACTAATATATTTATTATTCAGTAAAATAATACTTTATACTATAATGCTACTATTATAAAGGCTTAGATATAAGAGAACTTTAGTACTACCTATCTTATTAAGTAGCTTACTTAATCCCCTAACTTAAACCCTATTAAATATATCTAGTTATAAATAAAACGCTAGATTAATTATTAGTACCCTATAAGGCTAACTAGTAAAGCATTATAAGAAGTAATACTAATAGCTTAAGCTATTATTCTAGCAAACTACCTACTAAAGTTAGTATACTTAATACCTAATAAGCTAAAGAAGGTTATAGAGTAATAAGAGGGCTTTATTAGATATTAAGCTATATTAATAGAGCTATTTTTAGGTAGCTAGATCCTGTTTTTTATATATAGCTATATTAATACTAAGTAGGGGCTTTAACGCTTCGTGGGGCTTCACCCCTTATTATACGTAATATAATTAGCCTCCCTTTCGCAGAACCAAACGCCCAAGTACCACGCTAACAAACTTTCAAGGATTATATTATACAGCTACAGCAGCCAGCTGCCTCCCTAAAGTTCCCCAAGGATGATTACAAAATTCTTCAAGTTATGTCATTAAGAAAGCAGGTATGCCGATGAAGACATTCAGAGGCTGAAAAGCCATGTTGACTGTGCTTCGGTTATGGTCTGATTGACGTCAGAGGAGAGGAATTCTCAGATCGCAGGGCCCTCATAGCGTTCGGGGGATGACCCGACGCTTTTTCTGTCCGAGTCAAAAATACCACGGAAATATGCTCCAACGACGCCGCCATGACTAGGAAGGGCGTCAAAAGCACGGTTACACCACAAACCCGGCTTATCGCCCGCCACGAAAGCCCAGGCAACATTTCCGCCGAGGATCTGCAAGATGCCATCGTAGGGACGGACCAACAAATAGCATACCAAGTATCGCCCGGGAGCACCCTGCCATGCCACGTTCAAGACAGCGGCAGTTTCTGTCGGGAACTGTCCCGATTAGGAAAGGCTTCGAAGCGGCGGCCCGGGGATAGCCTTTCGGGCAAAGTGTTCGCTCAAAATATTCGGGTGAATGACAAGCGCGCGGGCAATATGCGGGGGCTAGCTGGTGGTTTCAGCCTTTGCCATCATCCAAGGATGGGAATTGTAAGCACTCGCTGGTACAAAAAAAAAAAAGAACAGCTCTCCATTTTTTTACCGAACATTTTACCCACTGCCGAATAATTTACCCTGAACGCCAAATCATAATCCCCGTCCCATCTTCACCTTAACGATCATTGGTGCAAGTGCTATCTACATAACAAGCGGCATATGCACGCCGTCATCCCATGGCGGGTCGCCCGTCGTCATCTGGGGAAAGTCCAGGCCTGCCATGAGCTGCACGAATGGCTTGAGGAACGGATGCTTTCCCTTGCGGAACAGTGCGAATAACGCGAGAAACCTGTTGAGGATTTCCATCACTTGGGCTGTCCTCGAGGCCGCCCAATCCATCTCGATGGTTGGCATTTGGGTCACCCATCCGGATGGGTCGCTTGCTGACGAGCTTGAGTCTAGAGTTCCACTAATGGACGTGGCGCAGGAGTCATGGTCCGAGGTGGGGATTCCAAAGTCACCGGCAAACGCGCCGCTATTCGCCGGGAATGTCTGCGCAATTCGTACGCAGTTGCTCGCGATGTCATACAGCTTTTCTGCCAGCCCAACACCGTGCGTTTCTAAACAACGTATGTCGAAAAAGTCGCAGGCATCAATTGTTTCGGCGGCGATGTCGATAGCGTAGTCAGGCCGTAGCTCGACGTTGGGGTCAGAGAGACTGGTGAAGCCGTGACGGAAGGCGAGGTTCCAGAGCATGTTGCGGATCCAGTGTCGAGTGAGTAAAATATCCGCGTGCTGGGCACCTCCCTTTTCCATGGACGGACTCGCTTCTAATGGCTTACTATATCGTCTTAGGAGCTGCACCAGCTTCTCTGCGGAGATGTGATTTGTATTTGGGTCCAGGTTGCAGTCGGACTTCCAGCATCGCACTACCGTCTCGTCGACGAAGTCAATCTGGTCGATCATGCGACCTAAGCCCTCAACGGCTAAATCTTCCACAGCTTCTTCGGCTGATGAGACACGCTTGATGAGCCTGTGGAAAGCCATGATATCCAGCCCCATCAGGCGAGGCATTTGTAATGTAGAGCCATGTTGCAGCGCATATATCCTGCAAATGGCGGTCAGTGTCCTGATTCCGTTCCGTCGCAGCACAAGATGCAAACTCACCTTTCCACAAACGCCAGCGCCGTTACCGTACGTACTCTCCGATCCATCTCATCAGGGCTGATGTTGCCATAGCTTGATGGATCATGCAGTCTCATAATCTCTGCCAAGGTGAGAGCCTCACGAAACCGCACCGTTGCGGCATTATGATTGCCGCGGCAGAATTGACACCCGAAGAGGAAGAAACTGGTCATAACGGCTTCCACCGAAGGATCTTGCCCAAAGTCCGCCCCTCCGTGCTGTTCTGCTACGTATGACAGTACGGATTCAGCTAATTTCAGGCGATCTGGTAGTAGAGGCTTATCTTGAGCGTGTATTGCCTGGAATAGTGTGTAGGCGCAGATGCTGTGCACCAAGGCGTTGAACTGACGGTCATATTCATGCCGACGACTTCTGAGATTTACCAGCAAGAATGACCTCCTGAAGAACGGCATAGATAAATGAAGTCGAGCTAGGAATATGTTGATGAGTTGTGATATCCTGGCAGGACCTAGCGGAGATAGGTAGGCAGTGCTGAGAGCTGGCGATGAATGCTTCGGTGAGGGTGGCCGCCATCTGAGTTGAGCGTTCGCTAGTTTTGGTGATGGGTGCATCCGCACCATGGAAAGTGGATCCGAGGTGTGAGACCGTATTGACTCTGGTAGGTTGTGCATGCCACCTAGTGAGAAATCTGGAAATGTTGCCGGTGTGAACTCGGGAACTCTCTCCATCGGTACGAGGCTTGTTGATGGGCGTCGATGTGTCTCATTCTCGTTGTCCAACTCCACGACACCGGATTGACCAAACCAGTCCCCGCTGGTTGTTGTAAGACCGCCATCATTAAAGCATTGATGAACTGACGGCACGAATCGATGTTCCCGCCCTGAATCAACAGATGCGTTTTTACTGTCAAAGGTCAATTCAATTGGTGTTTGACTGTTTTGAGATTCTTGCAATCTTCGAGCCGCCTTTTTCTTCGTGCGTTGCGAAGAATCTTTCGTGCCGCCTTTTCCGCTTGTACTGCCGTCAGCTGAAGCCTTGAACTTGTACTGCGGCCTGCGCTGGTATGAGCAGGTGAGCCCGGTGTCGATGCATGTCTTGCACGGGATGGTCCTTTCGCACTGTACCGGAGCGGCATATCAGTATTAGTGCCAGGCCGGCGGGATAAACATAGCCGGGCCGGTTGGGTATTGACGGGCGGCCTGCAATCTCTCACCTTGACTTTGCGCACGAAGCAGTGGTCGCACGCGCGTGGCTGGAGGACGCGCGAGAGGGTCTGGTCCAAGACAATCTGATATTGATCGCCCATGGCGAGCAACAAAACACGCGACGAACGTCACCCGGGGCGCCGTCTTATGGTGCTGACTGGTCGCGACGTTGGGCAGACATACCGCGTCGGCCGGGCTGCATGAGGTCGGAGAGTAGTGCGGGATGAGGAAAGTTTCGCCGCCTCCGCACTAAGAACATGGGGTGCCAGTGCGGGCATCCCGCTCCGTGCTGAAACGCTTAACTATTTTCGATTATGCAATCAGGGAGGCCCCTTCTTTGTATTGAATGGCGAGGGGGAAGATCAATCACGCACCATGGAAAGAAAACCTCGCGATGTAGCGTCATCGTCGAGCAGAGAAACCCACAGTCGGGTGAATAGCAGAAAGTTGCACAGCAAAGAAAAAAAAAACAAGCTTGCGGGGCCTTCCCCGAACATGCTAATCCGCTCAGAGTCCGAACAATCGGCAAGTCCAGTGTGATTGTCGTTAGCCGACGGAAACGTTAGCAGCCAACCAACCCCTGGTCCAGTAGGCCCGATAATTCTGCAGCGTGCCCCAGGTTACACAACATGGGAATTCAACGGCAACAACCAGTCACGTTCCGCGAATACACAGTGCACACCATCCCGGAGTGGTCACTTGCTCCTTGATTCTGGGCAGACGTTGTTTGTTGCCACAGGTTGAATTATCGTTGCGAAGTGGCTCAGCTGTCTAGGTGGAACATGATCGGCGACTGTCCGAAAATGGCAAGTTCAATTTAGCGACGATTACGGCGAGCCGCTCCCGCGCCGATGGGGGCCTTTCAAAGCAACATGCCAACCTGCCGGAAATATCAAGCGGATATTCGCCTCAAAAATGCCCTACAGAACTGATGTTTCTACTCTGATATGTCAGACTCGATAATTGGATATTTCGCCATGTCATCAGAGCGGCCCAGCAGTTCTCCTTTTACCCATCCCGAATCCTCAGGGAACTCAGCGTCAGAAGGGGGTTCATGTGTACACTCAAGATCCACCTCTGTTTCGGAACCCGACGACGGTGACGTCTTTCTCAACAAAGAAGACGCATTCAACAAATGGAGGCCGAAATTCCACCTGATTGCACCGAAAGGATGGCTCAACGACCCGTGTGCACCTGGCTACGATCGAGCCAACGACTGTTACCATATTGGCTTTCAATGGAACCCGGATACTCCTGAATGGGGCAACATCAAATGGGGAGCCGCAACCTCTCGCGACCTTCTCTCGTGGGATGTCTCTGTCGAGCCATCGATCGTCCCGACCGAAACGAAAGACCAAGGAGGTGTTTTTACGGGATGTCTTTCGCCTGTTGAGCTTCGTCCTGGGGAAATGACGACATTCTACACCTCTGCTAGGATACTCCCTATTCACCACACGTTACCTTACAACTATGGATCAGAAGGATTGAGTCTGGCAACATCAACGAATAGCGGGAGGACTTGGGACCGCCACGCAACTCCGATCTTACCTGGTCCACCGACGGATCTCAAGGTGACTGGATGGAGAGATCCGTTCGTTTCGACATGGCCCTCCATGGCTAAAGCTCTAGGAGACTCAGAGGAGACACTATATGGCATCGTCTCCGGTGGACTTCTTGACCAAGGACCGACTCCATTTATCTACCGACTTGACAGTGAGGATATTACGAAGTGGTCTTTTCTTTCGCCTCTAGTATCACTTCCTTGCAACTTCTCTCAATCACCGAGATGGTCAGCCGACCATGGCGCCAACTGGGAAGTGACAAACTTCCTCAGCCTACAGGATCCGGAGGACGACAGGAAGCATGACTTCCTGATCATGGGAGTTGAGGGTTTGCTGGCTACGGACAAGAGCAGAGGTCGCTCAGATTTCGACAAAGACCACGGTCAACTCTGGATGTGCGGCACCATCGAAGCGCACGAGAGGCAACCTAGGATGAAGCACTTGTATGGTGGACCTCTTGACCATGGAGCCTACTACGCCGGCAACTCTTTCTGGGATCCAAAGACAAGTCAACGGATAATTGTGGGATGGGTCGTTGAGGAGGATCTATCGATCGAGTTGAAGAGGCGGCAAGGCTGGGCGGGATTCCTATCAGTCCCACGAGTTCTGAAGATTCAGAGATTGAGGAGAGTGACAAAGTCTCTTGTCTCGTCTCTTGAAGAGATATCATCCATCGGTCTCCGCCAGGACGGTGTTCAGGAGGGAAGCGACGAGCCCACCTTCGAAGTAACAACACTTTGCGCCGTCCCCGATGACAGGTTAAGGGGTCTGAGAAGGTCGACAACTCCGGTCAGATCAGAAAATGGGTTCATCTTCCCTCAGGGATGCTCAACCCTGGAAGTCATTGTGTCGTTCGAGATTTCACCCCAAATTCAGTCGGCTGGACTGAAGTTCAATTTTGCAGGCAGTGAGTACTACTCTGCTCCCCTGAGAAAGAAACATGATCGCTGACTACAGTACCCAGATAACGCACAAGAGGCAACGATAGAATTCGATCCTTCATGCGAAAGACTTACAATAAGACGAGACAAATCAACCAAGGAGACAGGGGTCGTCGTCGTGGAAGAGACGGCGCCTCATACACTTTTCACTTACGTCAACGAGTCCGACGGGAACAAGCGGAAGCAGGAGCTGCTCACTATGCGAGTCCTGTTCGACGTCAGCGTTTTGGAACTTTTCGCCAACGAGCGAACAGCGCTAACAACGCGCTTGTATGCCGATGTGCCGAGGATTGCGGCGATTGAACCATTCATTTATCAGAGGGATTCTTCGGGTAGCCCTCCTGGCACCACCTCTGGCGCATTGCATGAGTTTACATGCTGGGAACTCGGGTCTGGGCAATAGACAGCTTACATTAAGCGACGTATTTCATTATGAACTTATTTGGTCGGGATACTGTCGACCAACGATCACGAATTTTGAGTTGAGCGAGATCAAGATTTACTATGAGTGCATTACGTATTAGTGAATTATGTATTTGTGAATTATGTGACCACCGGTGTTTGACTCCGGCACTCTAGGATGCGAAAGGGCCCCAAAAGAATCATACATCCAAGTCGACCCGTGGTCTACACATTCAGTCACCTGAAAGGTCAAGTTATCAAGAAGACCCCGTTCGTGGAGGCCACACCCAAACCCTCTTTCGACCGACGCCTGGAAATCGGGTCCTGCAAGAGCACAACTTTGATTCGTTACGCTTTGGCCTCTTGTATCCAGTCTTGGGGATGCAGTTCTTGGCGGATGCTTTAGAGCCCTTCACATGATCTGGCGGACGAGTAGTCATGTGACTTTTTGGAGCGGGCGCAGCTCTCTTCAGCTTTGACGTTGACTGCGATGAACTCTCGAGGTTATCGGCCTTTGAAGCGATACAAGGCTTGCCAGGTTGGACTTGAAAGGACGGCGCGCAAGCTGTCTCATCGAATACTCTCTCATCACAAGCATACTGGATAGTTTGGCAACGTCGGCCGTCTGATGAGCATGTGCTTGTTCCCGTTGGGCATGGTCCCCATATGTGTGGGCTTCTATGGCTGTGCTTGGCCAGAACCTCGCCAGCTGGGAGACCGTTGTCAGTGGATGGATCGTGATCGACGGTGAAGTTTACCCCAGGCAGGGGGCGGAGGGCGCAACCCCAGTCTGCAGATAAGTCTTGTGGAGGCTTGTTCCTCCTACTTTGTGAGATATACTCTGTCGAGCCCTCCACGAAAATACTCGAGTCCTCCAATTTAGTACAAAAAACGTCCGAACGAGAGCGGCCATCTTATAAACATTGTCCAGGGTAAAATACAGCCTGGAATCGGTTGGGCTGTAGCGAAACCTATGAGGCATAGAGGTGTAGTCTTTGCGCAGCTGATCACCAAGGTTGAACGTAAGATGGTTAATCAAGATGCCTATGCCCATTCAAGTGATACCGAGATTTCGAGAGATTCATCGGCTCTACAAGGTGAC